TACAATAGCAAATTTATATGTAATTTATTTTTAGAATTTTTTTCTCATTTTTATATTTATAGAAAAAACGCAATTTTTTGCGTCTCGTGCATTTTGCCAAAGAAAAAAATACTATTGGCCGGTTAAATGGGTTCTTGATGATTTTTGTCAAAAATAGTAAATCTAAATTTCAAGCTTTAGACTTTATTTTTAAACACACCCAAATTACTTCAAATAACAGGAAATTTATCACGATAATTTTGTGTGAACTGGAACTAAATAAGAAAAATAAAATGGGTTATTCAGTTTGTTATTAAGTGTAAAATCTCAATTGATGCTCGATTTGATTAACCGACTTAATAGTTGGTTTTTGGGCTGCTGTTAACGATTTTGTACCAGCTGGGGCAGTCATAAGTCTCATTTGTTCTGGTGATGGATTTACTGAAATAGTCTTCATGAAAACGGAAGCTGATTGTATGTTGACAAACACTCGCATTTTATCTCCACTTACCACTGAAACAAAACCACCTCTTGTGAAAAACGAAACAATGTTTGATTTGATTGCTTTTTTGTAAATCACATCCAATTCATTTCTTACATGAGTTGAAATGAGCTGACCTCGTTGAGCTGTTTCAGTTCTCAAAAAATTGGCGTTGCTTACTTCTTTTATCCAACCAGCCAACTCGGTCTCAACAGTGGTATCAGATACAACAACATCAGCAGTGCTCAAACTTGAAGTAGAAAAAGCACTTTAAGCACGACTTTGACCTTGGTTAAACGTTTTGACAACACACTTGGTGTTTGGAAATACATCTGATGATGTTGTGGCAAACTTTTTCAGCAAACCAAAGAAACATAAGTCCAAAGGTTGCACGACGTGACTCGCATGTGGTTCAAGAAAGTGAAAGAAGATGTTGTTTGAGTTAAAAAATGATTTCAACGTCTGGTCTAAATGCCCAGAGAAGTTATCCATTATGATGACTGCAATTTCTCTTGGATCAAGCTTTAGTTCTTCTCTTCTTTTTATAACATAATTCAACACCTTTTCATACATCCACGTTTTGAATATCATTTCATTAACAAATCCTGTTTTTGTAAAATAAAACGATGCCTCCGGGTATTCTGCAACTGGTGATTCTTCGAAATAAACATTGGGAACAACGATTGCTGGTGTGATAAAATACCCATCGGCTGAAATGAGAGCAACAATTGTGCTTCTTTTTGCATTGCGTTGAATACCGACTTTGACATCTCTTCGATCTTTTGTGAAAACTTTTACCTTTTGCTGATCCGCCTATTCGTTAAATCCCACTTCGTCGATGTTAAACACTAAAGAAGAATGTGTACCATTAAAATTAACTGAAAATAATTTAATTTGGAATAATATTGAAATAATTAGTTTAGACTCCGTCCAAATCCTCAGTCTTTACAATTGCAGTACCATAACCATGACACGTTTTCACGTGCTTAATACAGTCGATACTCTATCGGATTGGACTTCTATCGGATTGGTATTCTATCGGATTTGGTTTTATATCCAATCAAAACTTGTTCCAATCCGATTTTATAAATATAAAACCTGTATAATTAGTACTTAATAGCGTAATACAATCTTATTTTCTTTTTTACTTTTTTGGTTTTGTGAATAAAAAAATCTAACTTAATAGTATTGAAATCAAGAATTTGGCAATCTATATAAACAAGTAATTTTTTGGTGATAAATGCATTTGATTTGTCAAAATCGTAAAACCAAAATTATAACAATAAAATATAATAATTGCAAAGAACAGATTTATTATAATAATAATATAAAACTTGGTGTACAACTTAGTGTTCACTAATAAGTTGAACACAAGTTTTTATTAAAATAATCACAATTATTACATATTACAAAATAAGCATTTAAACCACAATTATATCTATTCGCAATTTCTAATATAGTCAGTCTTTTAACTTCATCTGGTGGACATAAAATAGCTTTAATTTTGTCAAAACATTAAGCATTAAGTAAAAAGTGAAAAAAAACAAAACGATTGAGATGGATTTTAAAGACGGCTTTCCAAAATATGCCAATCTTTATGTTTAAAAAGGTACCAGATAACGTTTAAAGACAGACTGTATCTGTTTTTTATCTGCTTAATATCGAGAATCTTTTTTTGATTTAAGATATTAAGTATTGTAATAGATACTACAATAATAAATCCATTATGTTGTTTATGTGTTTTTAACATACAAATTAAAATATGAATAATGACAAATAAATTCATATGTTTACACGTGTCTCTTATTATTGTTCTGTTAAAATATTCATTATACGTTTTTAAATTATGTTTTTGTCAAAAGAAATAAATAATGCCAAAAAATATAGAAATTAAAAATAAAATTTTCTTTTTATTTTCCCATCCTTGGGAAAAACCATTTTCCCATCATTCCAATCCGATAGAGTATCGACTGTAATACCCTTTGAAGTCACGTCGAATGTATCATCAAAACTCTGACATAAAACATCAACCATCCACGGAGTAACACTCATTTTGTTTAACTCACAGTAATTCAATAACGCAGATATTGCTGTATCCATTGTTTCGGTGAATTTTGTTTTGTGATTTAGTTGTTGTTCCTTTTGTTTTAAATGAGTTGAAATTGATGATTTGGACAATCCAAACAATATACCAATTGATTCTAAATTCAATTTGTAACGTTGGTGGATGAATTTGATTTGTTCGATTTTCGTTTGCAAGCCAAATGCTGTCATGTCGATGTTTTTGAAGACAGTTTTCGCCTCTTCAATTGATTTTTTTGAATGATCTTTGTGTTTTTCTTCAAATTTAATGTTTTCTTCTATGGTTCCTTTGTCTATTGATGGGTATCTCTGGTTTTTGGTTTTCAGTAATTTATAAGGTTTGATGTATTGTCCACTTTCCACAATCTGATTCAATGAATCAATAAATATTTGTGGTCTTTGTTGTAACATGTTGTTTTATTGAGATTTTGTGTTTTTATGTTAAAAATTATTGTTTTGTTGAATGTTTTTTATTTATTTATAAATCGAAATTGTATAATAGAAGTTCTGCAATATTGTTTTAACAGGTTAGATTTTTACCTTGTAATTATTTTAAAAGGGAGAAGTAATGAAAGGCAAATTATAGTTTGTTTTAAAAAAATAAAAGGGGAAACCTGTTAAAACTATAAGGCGGTTTTTTTGTTCGCCAACAACTGAAAGAAAACAAATTACAATTGAGAACTAATTTGACTAAGATTTGCCAAATATCAATTTTTGAAAAAGATTTAGAGGGTTTCCCATGTTAAGTTGCTCACTTTATAAATACAAATATTTTAAATGTGTTTTGACAACATTTGGATCCATTTGCCTCTAGAATTTTTTATCAATGAGTGTCGAGAGCAGCAAGTTCTTCAACATAGAGACTATTTCTATCACGCATTTATTTCTGTTTTTGAATTTCCTAAATGACACAGAACAAAACAAGCTTTACTAACTATGCGTTTATAATTCACTCATACAATTTATGTGTTCGTATTTTTTTTCGGCGAACTCGTTAATAACATTATTATTCTTTTTTAGTGTTTCGTTTTCAGGTTTTTTAATTTTTAATTATTTTTAGAATAGTTTAATCAACCACACATTTTTAAACGATAATTTTTTTCTGTTGATTTACGATTGTGAAAATATGATACTTTCAATTCGCACCATTTTATATCGAGATTATTTGTCGTTGGATGTTTTGATGTGGTTTAATTTGAAAGAAAATCTAATAAAATGTGAAGTTATTGCAAAATTTATTAATCTGCTTGTATCATTATATCACATAAATATGTAAATGCATGTGATATTTGTTGAGTATCTGTAATTATATATGAAATAAGACTGTACGTCTGTTTATTGTTATCTTTCAAATACGATCTTGAAATTACATTACTCATTTGTTTATGATCAATTTTTTTCGAGTTTTTCAATGGGCAAATTTTATTATTTGGTTAATAATAAACGGATAAAAATCCTTCTTATAATATTTACCTGTTAATATAATAATAATTTAATTAAAATCAAAAAGTAAACCTTTGGGAGTCAATTTTTACAGCCCGAAATAGAACAAAATTTGAAAAAAATATAATTAGCGCAGTTCCGATTAGGACATGTTTCCCGATTTTGGTTTTAAGTTTTATGTAATTTTTGTTTGTTGAATAACAAAAAAACGCTCTAGAGCTGCCACGTCATAACATTTTAAGGATAAATTGTGAGTGAAAAAAAACAGACCAATCAGATTCAATCCGGTCTATAGATAGTAACTATTATCAAATTATAAAATCTGTCTTTGAAACCATTAAAACATTAAGTTTTTTTATAATTATATTAAAAATTTTTGTAATTAATATTATTAATTATAATTAATTTATTATTCCATAAATTTTTATAGTGATCCAACATACATACATAATAGCATAGCATACAAAATAGACTAGATGCTTTAAAACAATAGATAACTTGAACAAATAGGTATAAAATCGTGTTAAAAACAAAATGATAGTGCAATAACACTCGTATTAATATAATAAAAACATTATAAATAATTTATATTTTATATATCAT